AGGAGGAGGAGGAGGAGATGGTCAATGACTCTCATCAGGCGCTGGTATCTGGCTCGTCACGACTTGTCGCCAGCGTATTCGAGAATGAGAACAGACGACGTTTGAGAAGAGGAGGCTGAGCAGGAGCAGGAGGCTGAGCAGGAGGACGAGGAGGACGAGGACGAGGAGGAGGAGGAGGAGGAGGAGAACGAAGGGCATTATAGGAGAATGATCAATGGAGTGCAAGTGATAGGAAGGAGGTTTTGCTGTTTGTTTGATATTAAAAGGTTTGCAATCAGCTGCTGCTGTCCAGCATTAACTTTCACCAACTTCTTGCTTGTCTGATCCTCCTACTCTACTCCTTCCTCCCTTCCTCTCCTCCTCCCCCTCTCGTCCCCCTCCCTCTCTCCTCCTCCTCTTCTCGGCGCTTCTCCTCCTTTTTTCAAGGTCTTCTGTCGCTCTCAGGACTCTTGAGGGACTTGGCTGAGCTGAGAACTTCCTTGGCTAACGCGAGAGCAAGCCGTTCCTGCTGGTGAGTCAGAGACAAGGAGAGGAGGAGACAAGAGGAGGTTGGGAGGTGGGAAGAGAGGAGGAGATAAGAGGAGAGGAGGGAGAGAGGAGGAAAAGAGGGGGAAGAGAGGAGAGGACGAAAGGAAGAAAGGAGAGGCGGTAACGGCTGATCGCGAAGAGGACAAGAACTAGGGAAGACAAGAACGAGGGAGTTTGCACCTGTCTTGACTTCAAAGAGACTCTCTGCTCCTTCTCTGACACCAGTGGCCTGCTCACTCCCCTCTCCTCCTCCTTCGCTCCCTCTTCCTTCAGCTGCGTCCCAGCAGCCCTCGTCCCGCTTGCCAACTGAGTTACCCTTGCTGATGAAGCGGCAACGTAGGGACGAGCTTCGACGACGAGAGGAGAGGAGGAGACGATACGATTCTGGGTTTCTGCCCTTGCCCCTGCTCCTGCTCCTGCTCCTGCCGGTCCAGTGGTCTCCATCCTCGCTGGCCATGTCAAGCTCGAGCCGAAGCCTCTGACTCTAGTCGAGTGCTCGGAACGAGTGACGAGGGGAGGAGAAAGACGGGAAGCAAAGCTCGAACTGCACAAGGCGTCATGCTAGTATGCTCGGGGAGGAGCAAGACCTGTGAGGAGTTGTTTCTGCTTTCGTTGCCCTGCTGGGACCAGAAGAACCTGAGGACCGAGCATGAGAACCGAATGCAAGAGGAGAGAAGAAGAGCGGGGGGGAGCGAACAGGTGAAGAGAACACTTGGAAGCTTCAGAAGAGAAGGGGGCGGGGGAAGAGGGAGGAAGGAAGCAAAGGAAGGGAGGGGGGGCGGGGGGCGGGGGGAAGAGAAGAAGATGCAGGAGCAGGAGGAGCAGAAGGATGCGGAGTAGTAGTAGTAGTAGCAGGAGGAGGAGGCGCAGGAGATTACTCGTACTCGGCCAAGCAAGAGGACTGACAGTTTTCCCCGCCTGCTGCTGGTGATCATGCACAGGAGCAGCTGCAGCGCTTCTTTGGTTAGGAGAAGATCTAGCAAACCACAAAAGATTAATTGCGCATCGATTTCACCTCCCCCATCTCCCTGACGCTTTCATCAGCGTCCTTCCCTCCTCCCTGTCCTCTTCTCTTCTCCTTCCTCTCGAGACTGCCTGCCTGCCTGCCTGCCTGCCAGACTCGTTGTTTTTCACCTTGTTGCAGCTCTTCGAGATTGGGGCCAGAGCCATCCGCTCTTGAGAGAGTCTGCAGAGAGTCAGGAGGAGAGGCAAGGAAAAGAGCAAGAGGGTGAACAGAAGGTAACAGGACGTAAAAGAGCTCGCCATGTGTTTGCAGTCGAGCGCGATGAAAGAGGAAGGGTGACCACAGGGTGCTAAGTGAAGAGCAAGAAAAACAAGTGCATGTGCTGATAGCAGGGAGGGCTAGCAGCAGGTGCAAGACAAGAGGAAGCAGGAGAAGGAGGAGGAGGAGAAGGAGGAGGAGGAGAAGGAGGAGGAGGAGGAAGGAGGAGGAGGAGAA